ATCTAAGGTTCGTGAATGTTGAATGGTTGCTGCAACTATTGTAGTCTAAGCTCAGGAAGGTGTGTAAAAATCGAAAAAAAAAAAAAAAAAAAAAAAAAAGAATTGACATTTCGATAACAAACTGGGACTTTGCTGAAAGCAAGTCCCACAATTAAATGGAGATTAAATGATATGATTCAAATAATCTATGAGACTTGTAACTACACGTTATGAAATATTTCGGTTCAGAAAGAAGGACATTATATATATACATTATATTGTGCAGTTGTATTCATTATTCAATTATAACCTTTCCTTTTATGTTACCAACACCCAACATACACCTGAATACGTAATATTTATAAAGTCTCATAACTAGGTTAGAAATTCGGGCAATCCCTGTTTGTAGTTAGTAATATATATATAGTTCACAGGTTGAAAACAATTTGAAAGTTAATGTAGATGTTTAACGTCCCAGAATTCTTCATATAAATTATATTAAATTCCAAAAAAGAAGTGTTTGATGACGTCACTTATCGCAAAATATGCTTTATTAAATCGCGATTAGTGACGTCATCAAACACATAGATTTAGTGGAATTGCTAGAACCACATATATCTGATTGAAAATTGGAATGGTGCAAATTGATACTACTACTGTCCATTTAAGGGAATTTTTTATTGAAAAAAACATTTTGATCGGTTGAACTGCCCCCCCCCCCCCCTCACACAACAAATTTCTACATTTAAAAAGCAGCAAATTTGAAAATACACAAGAAATATTGAAAAAGTGAAATTATATATAGTGTTTTCATTATGTTATTCTTTTTTAATCTACGTGTTAATTGCTAAACTAAACAAATGAGTTGATATTCTATAAAGGTACTGGCCCTGGTTCAATGTAGCTTATTATATATTTCTCTGACATCATTAGCAACAGTGACGAAAAATATAGCTAATTTACAGCTTTCATTATCAATGGTTAATAATTCAAAGTTCTGCTTTCCTTCAATAATTCCCTCTAAATTGTGTTTCAATATCTCAAACACTCGTCGTTGTTGTTCAAGCAATCTTTCTTTGTCTGCCTCCATGATTTGGATTTGTTTTTCTATATCATTATATTCTGCAAGCATATCTTTCGCAGAAAGTGCGAGTGAGTGCTTGGTTTTAAGCAATTCATGTAAAATAACACGTTTTCCATAGATAATGTCTATTTCGAAATAACCTCTGTCAACAACTTCCTCCAATTTCCATAACCAATATTTGACAACCATTTTCAATTCTTCTTCAGTCTTAAAATCGTGGTTTTTGAACCAATTATTCATTATAATACACCATGATCTACTGTCTGGCCACCGATTATAGTAATAAGGAAATTCAATCAAATCAATTTCCAGTCCAACATTAGCTCTTTCCTTCTTTTTCTGGAAACGAAACATACGTTAAAAATTGGTGCATTTAAAAAGAATAAAAAGCACCATTTACACAGTAAATTAAACGATAGAACAAGTCAATGAAATAAATACTGAATCGCCAAGTTGTATATCTGAGGTCCGGTGGTCGAGCAGGGTGGTGGGATTTATCAAATGGTCCCATTCTTATTTATTTTTTTACCCAGGAATCTTGCATCGTAATGGTCACGTTTAATTGTTTGAAATTTTACCTGTTCCAAATCAAGATCAAGTTTTGAGCTCAATTCTTCGTAACCTGCATCAGCTAATGATTTGAGCAGCCCATCAAAAGCTTTCTGACCAGAACGATAAATTCTATTGAGCATTTCTTCTGCCCCTTCCTTTCTCAATTCTTCTTCTTTCTTGTTAATCATTTTCAGATCATCTTCATCAATAAGGCCGTTTTGAAAGAGATGGTTTTTCAGAACCCTGGGATCGAGTTGGTTCACCATTATCTCATGGTTGTCTGTTAAAACTTCAAATTCAAGTCCAGACAAATGTCCTCTCTGTTTTGTAGTAGTGACTGAACTGGAATCAGTTTTTTTCTGAAATAAAACAGACAAATTGATAATGATGATAATGATGATAATGATGATAATGAAATTTAAGGTCTTTCCTTTTTTGTGTGAGAAGAAATTACACGTGCAGAATTGATACTTTAAAAATATAAAGAAGGTGAATTATTCACAGTACATGGCAGCGCAAGTTAGTGAACGAAATTGCGAATGGTTTTTCAATTTTAACTCAATTTTATTTTTTGTTTAGGTTTGACCCAAGACACTGGTAATATAATTATAATAAATGATCACATAAAGCTACCGGAAATCATAAGATGACCGATGGTGATTGATACCTTTTCTAAGTCTCTGGTTAATTTCTGTGCCATTTCTTGATAACCAGCTTGTTGAAGAGCTGCTATGAATTGTGAAAAAGGATTATTTCCTTTCGAAATAATATCAAGTATGGATTCAGTATCCTTCCGTCTTAAATCGTTACATTTATTTTCGATCTTCTTCACATCGTCTTGGTCAATACTTTGGTTTTGTTTTAAAAATGGAATAAGTTTTTCAGGGACCAACGTGTCAACCATTTCAACTCGGTGTTCTCGGAGAACTGTGTATTCAACGTGAGGTATTGTTCCTCTTTTCTTTTTTCTTATTACTTCCAATGACCCGGTCCCTGTCGTATATGAATACATTTCATCGCCATGTTCAGTTGTTCTCCGTACTGCTCTCTGAAACAGAGACTAAAACTGTGACGAGTGATATAGATATTATAGTTTGATTCAAGATGTTGAATCAGTCTCTCTGTTGTCGCGTTCAGTTAACCTTAAATATTGCTCAACGTTTTTGTGTGAATCATTTGAATTATTGAAATTGGGCGATCAAATAATTGTTAACTTACCTTTGGAAAATAATAATCTAGCAGCAAGTAGATTAGGAGAAGCACTGGAATCTCCC